ATTTAGTTGATGTTTCAATGGGATTAACAATCATTTCAATACAAAATGTAAGATCATAATTTATCATCTGAATTGTCAAAAGATTACTTGATCAATACAAAAATCTCAGGACGGGTATGATCACTTGACAGTGGCATTTATATCCTCCTAGTCCCATGTGCGAAGCAGATGTTAAAGCGTTTGATCTAGAGCCGCGGGGTAAGGATTTGGACCTCTCCTCTCCTGAACAACTGTTCAACAAACATTGCATGGTAGAACGTACGTTATTTCTTTGTACAAGACATAAAGTTTACATAAAAATTGGAACTGCTGCATGGTGGGCCGGAGAAAAAGATAATTGCAACTTGGATAGAAAATTCCAAAACATGTATATGTATGTGCCAAATAGGAGAACCCTTATATCAACAATTACGACTAATGATTATTTCTGTAAGGATCTAGGAGTTGTCTTCTTAATCAAAGCTGGTCTTCTAGGTTTTGTAGATTATGATTTTACATCTCCTACAAGGTGAAAAATTAATATTCCTATACCTTATTCTTGTAGGAAAACTTCTTTTAAATCCTCACTTAGCTACCAATTTCAAAATCTTGCTCAGGCACAAATCATATTGCAAAAGATGAGTTGTTACTGCGTAAAATAACACAATTTTGGAATCGCAAGTTTTTACCATGGAAAATGATAACTTTATAACTAACGACTTTTCAAGTCTATGTAAAACCATACCATGTGATAAATAAAAATTCAAGCTTTTTGACATTATTAACAGCTGCGATTTTCAATAAAATTGAAACTCTTTGATTTACGTACCTTATCATTGGTCATAAGGATAATTCTATAAAAATCATTGTGTACATAAGTACTCTGAGTTAATATTCACAAGATGCTTGAGTTTTTTTTATTCAAAATATCTATGTGGTCTTTGGGGGAACCAAGTACGTGTACTTCAACAATCCGTTGGAATTCCATGGGCAATTATTATGTCTCATTATAAGCAGACCTAATTCATATTTCTATTTATTCATATGAAGCAGAAATTATTCAAATTTTATTATTGAGAGGAAAATAGTCTGACACGTTTACTTCATACATATTTGGGAAAATTGTTTGAAAAAAGATCTAGACGTTAAAGGTAACCTAACAACAAAGCTTTATGATTAGCTAGATGACTTCTACTTTTCAATCGACAACTTCCCTTATACTTAGGTAGCAATGAACATGTACTATATCACTCGCATACGGGGCAAGGGGTTATGTCTCTCAGTTGATTCCATACGCTCTGCGTAATAACACTTTTAAAACGAGTAAATTTAGTTAAAAACATCATGAACAAGTAAATGAAGCAAGAATTTCAGAAGTCTCGTTTAAAGTCATCATTTTGTAAGTTCTATGGTCGATACAATAACCTTGTTAGCATAAACAATCTATTATCATATCAAGGAATGATTCAAATCAATTGTTAGACCATTCTCTACGCTGAATGGACTACTGATTTTCCCGTTTTTTCCGATCATGACAAAGAGAACGAGGCGCCTGAAACCAGTCGGCAAGGGATGCTTACTAAATGGCACCTGACTCCACGTCTGATGTTTTTAGGCCCGACTTTGCTCTGCTCCTGATTTGTATTGCTGATGAATTTCTGAGATTGAATATTGTAATTTATCTTCATTTAGATGTATTTCATGTAAGAGTATATTTAGAAAGAGAAAAGTGAGACAGACGGACTAACAAGGATTTACAACAATATACCGAATTTTCTTCTAAGAATGCGGATATAATGAATGATTTTGTTTCTGTAACCTTTAATTACAAATTATTTCATGACAGCAAAGATATCAGCAGTCTCCTTCAAAGTCATCATTTCGTAAGTTCTATGGTCGCTACAAAGACCTTGAAACACAATTTATCATTAAGTCAAATGCTGACTGACTTTTTTCATACTTATTGTTAGGTTCTTATTAAGCAACTGAGGGAAATTTATTTCAAACAATTTGAATTTGAAGTGTTTAAAAATTTTTATGAGCCTATTTTTTCTCACTGGGATGGGATTGTCATATGATTCTTTGCCAAAGACACTGTTATAAACATTCAGACTGAAAGGCCCGAGCTTTCTAGTTGTCATAGCAGTGACTCTTCATTGTCGGGTTTTGATTTTTCACAGATTTATTGAGCAAAAAATCGTTTAACCTAAGCTTTACCTTTAACTTACCTTACCTAATATGGATATCAATAATCTAAATTTAAAAAGATCTTAAATATGGGAAACCTCGATCCTTCAAGTGGCGTCGGAATTTCTTGAATATTATGGATTCTAAAGAGGATTACGCCAAACGATGGGCCAAATATGAAAAAAAATATGCTGAGTCTTTGTCATTATCAGATCTATGTTACAATCTCTTACTGAGAGATTGAGAGGCACATGAAACAATTTATTCTTCTGTATTCAACAATCCAGAAGTGAAAAAAGAATTAGATAGATTACATTATCAGTTTGTACTGATCCCTGCTGTCAAAGCAGGTTATAACATTTTCTTCGTTTGTAAGGCTCATTATATAAACTGTATTTTAGAAGAACTTGGATTTAATTCTAAAAGTGGTAATCCAACTTATAGTCATAGTTCCATTTCTAAGGAAGAAATTCTTCAAAAACATATGTCAGCTTGGAATATTTTTAAGATCCCAAAAGAACAAATTTGAACTACCATATCTATATTAGATTCCGAAACTTCATAAAAATTCCTACAAACAAAAATACATAGCGGGTTCCTTTAAGTGCTTAACCAAGCATCTTTCTTTACTCCTCAATAACAGTAGTGAAGGAGAAACTTCAAGAGTACTGTGAACCAGTATATTCAAGAAGTGGTGTAAATCAGTTGTGGATAATTAAAAATTCCAAGAAACTTTTGGACAATTTAAAATCACAGGATTTTACCAAAATTACTAACTTAAATCTTACGACTTTAAACTTAATACACAACCACTCCCCACGATAAATTAAAGTTGAGACTTTCTGATAACTTTGACAGCTGGTTTTTCAATAAAAATGGAACTCGAAAATTTACTTATCTTGTCATCGGACATTTGCAAACTTATTTTGTTAAAAACATTCTAATTATACACACAAGTATTTTGAAGTTGATTTCAAAAACGGCTTGACTTTCCGATTGACAATATCTATATGCTTTTTTGGGACCAGGTCTTCCAACAATCTATTGGAATTCTCATGGGTACCAATGGTACTCCTTTATTAGCAGACCTATTTTTGTATTCATATTGAACAGAACTTGTCCAAAATATTATACGTGAAAAGAAGAAAATACGGATATTTTTCTTGAAAAAGACGTTCATGGTACTCTAACAACCTAGCTCTATGATTGCTTTAACTTTACATTCGTCAACGTCCCTTACTGCAATATACCTTCAGCACCTGCATACGGAGTTTATATATCTCAGTTGATTCGATACGTAATAGCATGATCGTTCTATGTATGAGCAATTTCTGAAACGGGGTAAAATACGGAAAAACAAGTTGATGAAACAAGTATATCAGCAGTCTAGTTTAAAGTCATCATTTCGTAAGATCTATGGTAGATTCAATGACCAATATTATCATTAAGTCAAATGCGGGTTGACGTTTTTCATACTTATTGTTAGTCCATTATTTATACACTGATTTGACGAAGCATTTTTTTTCGTTTTTCCTGATCATGACAAGGAGTAACCTGCAGTTGTGATCGGTCAGTAGGGAATGCCCACTTCTCAATGGCACCTGATCCTACCTCTGATGTTTTGGAGGTCCGTGTTCACTCTGCTCCTATTTTGCATTGTTTTTTTGGGCTTTTGTTCTTGATTACTCTTCGCTATCTCCATATGTTTCATTTACCGGTACACTATTTTTTTTCTCAACATCATAATCATCGAATTTAACGATACAACTACTAAATTCGAAAGAGCCCAGCGTATGTATTAAATGTCTTACATTTAATTATAGTACTCTATATTTAAGAAAAATATATCTTTTTTTCTAAGGATCAGCTATATTGATTTTTTTTTCAATAAATATGTAGGGTGCATGTATATTTTACATTACAGACTCACATTTATAAAGGCATACTGCCCAATGTTCAGTATCATAAAACGTAAGAGATTTAATCAAGTTCCCAGTCGAAACAGAGGTGCCATCACATAAACAGAAAATTGATATAAAGTACATGGATATTGACAAGTTTGTTTTGATTTATATAGGAAACAAAACAAAGTCGCATATATAAGCACCATAGAAAACTTACGATTCTTTACGTTATAGGGATTTATTATTTATGTCATTTATGTTCAAAAGCAGTCAAAAAATATAATATGATAACAGAAAATTGATGCCTGGATTGATATATATTATTTTTTTTCCTATGAAATTCTTTACAAACATTTGCATATATTTTTAACATTGCTACAAAATCTTACAAAGTTCTCCCACTATACATGGTACACATTATTCTGATTAATTACCTGAATATAAATCTTTTTAGAAATACAATTGCTGCATGATTTCTGGAGAACGTTGTTTTATCATTACTAAATAGTTGGTCAATCGTTGTTGTTTTTTAGTCATTTCTATTTGGGTATTAATAAGCAAATTAGTTATAAACTTAATGTTGAAAACTGTTTGAAAAATAAATCCCAAAGGTCTGTATTTTGTTAAATGATCTTATTTTAAAAATTGATTCTAAATCAATCTTAAAAACAGATGTTTTATAATTTTGATTCAATTATTATTCGATGAAAGAGTAAATAGTTTATTTTCGCTTCATTCTACTTCATTCAAAAAACAAAGATTGTTTTTTATTTCGTTATATGAATGTGCATTTGAGCAGAGTGAGCTTTTTATCATCAGATTTGAATGCAAAGCCTCTGCGAGTTATTGGGCTAGATGGATGAATGCGTACTTCACATCTGCGATAATCATTTCTTAGAATTTACTTTAAATTATCAAGGGAGACCAGACCATAATAATCGAGTTTTCGTTTCGCTTTTCATCAACCGTTCAAATATTTGAAGACAAGATGGACTTTGGTCTATACGTTTCTTCGATTGTGATGTGGTTTTGTGAAACATATCTCAAAGAATAACTTTGGATTCAATGTTTGTTTTCGGGGACTCTAAGGTAAGTGTGTAAGTGTGTTGCCATGAACAGTCCATCATGAACAAACTATTAATTGTTGATTCTCTTATTCTAACGTTATTTAGTTAAATATTCAAACTATATTGTCCTATACGTTAAACTTATTACAACCTTATTTAATTTTTTTAAAGAAAAGAAAATAAATGACGTAAAATGATCATAGGAAAAAAAAATTCACCTAAGATTAAAATGAACAGAAGACGAATCCAAGATCATTTGTTAGAGATTAAGCTATTCTGAGATTCCCTGGGCATGATAAACTTCATTCATGGGTTAAGTGTAGACTAGTGGTTGCATGTTCTAACCGATTAAATTTATTATGTTAATGTTTTAACTTTAGGCTATAATCACAGCATAAATCATTACAAGAAAGCACAGTGGTAAAAATTCGCGATTTTAATCCAAGGACTTGAAGATGGTTTTAAGTCATAAAACTGCACGGCGAACTGACACTAATAAGATATATAGTATACATTTCAAACAGCAATTATAGAAACAAATATTATGTAACACTAGTAGTTTTTAACAAATTAAAGTATTTTCAGTAATTTACAGAGAAAATGGATAATAATTACAAGTTCGTGCCGATACTCTATGCATAACATCAACAAGTTTAAAAAAAATTCTACCGATCGCGAGGAAAATAAAATGAAAATTTTACGAAACGAAAAAATATCAGTTGAATTAAGATAAGTAAAGCATCCTACTTACTGATATGTCCAATTTCCTATTGTAAACAATATCTTTTGTTTATGATACTTTACAGCATTTACTTTGTTTATACAGGGTGGAACAAATTACTCACCCCCTGGTCAGTATTGTTATGACAGCGGCATTTATGAATGGGATAATTGTGAGATGAGCACTTTTCTTGCCATACAATTCAACAGACGGAACATTATAGTATTCCCTTGGTAAAAGTAAATGTATTCTTTTGACACGTTATAGTAATAACAAGGTTTTGTGTGCCTGTAGTTGCCATACGTTAATTATCAAAATATCGTCTTTTTTAACATCATTAGAAAAACTTGATTAAATAAATAATTGAATAGAGATATCTAAAAAAAAAAACTGTCATAAAAGTAGATTTCACTGCTGTCCCAGTTATTATTCTTTAATTAGAGAAGAAAGGGAAAATATACAGGTACCCGTCTTCTTCATTTTATTCTATTCTTTTCATACAGGATCCAAACTACCTAGCGAGTAATTATTTTGTAAAGACAATAAGTCTTTAATTAAAATATAAATCTTTATATTTTATCAAATATATGTGTGAGGTTTGCTTTAATATAAGTAAAAAATCGCGCATTGACGCAAACGCATGATTTTTTAAAGCAAACACACGACTTTCACGTAAAGTCAGCAGAGAGATGCCTCAATAATCCAGCTAAGGCATTTCTCCGTCAGCACTGCAAATATTCGTTTTATAAGTAAGACCAGATTAAATAATGTTGTTATTACAGATGTATTATCTTTAAACATAGCCTTCTCTTTACCTCACCAGAGTATACAAATAGGTATTAGATTCCACTTTATTGAATATAAATCTGCTGCTTTATTTTAAGATCAATCATATGATAAAAACTCTGTATATCCATCATTTTCCATGATTTGTTAAAGGTTTATAATACTATTAATATGCGCCTGCTGTGAAGAAATTAAGTTTGTGGCTTTCTTAATAATCGAATTTTATATAATCAATGTATCTATGCAATATAACGTCATCTGTTCAAATTTAAAGATATACACGCTATTAAAACGCCGATTTTTGTGTGAAACAAAATGATTAATTAAATGATTTGAGACACATGAAGTGTAATGAAAAATTAATACTTTCCAAAAATAAAAGTCGTTGTAATAATAAAACAATTACGCAATATCTGCAATTAAGAATTCAGTCTTTTCATGAATAATGATGAAGGAAGTGCGTAAACAGTCTATAGTCACGCATGTCAGCGGGAAATCATAGACGACGAGGTACAATGTATGTTGCATTTTGACTACGATTATTAATACCGGGCAAAAGGTTGGTTATCAAAATATATATATTTCCAACCGTATTTAAATTGACGCAAGTTTGATCGTGTATAGCTTTAATTAACCATGAACAGAATTATTATTGACATTAAAAAAAAAAACTATATAGGTGATATTTTACATGATATCAAACTTTGTATAAAACATCAATGAAATGGTAAGAGTTAGTTCTGCTATGCTTTGGAAGTAGATCATATATTATCTATTTCAAGAAAAATATGAATGATAAATTGTGACCTCACCGTATCTCTTAGAACTCAAAACTTAACGAGCTTGAATCTATACAATATCTGGACGCTTCAATGTCAATATGACGAGCACAGCGTTTGGCTTCTGGAAAGTTAATTGAAAACTTTCTGTTTTATTTGTTTAAGGATTCTATATTGTGTAAATCGTAGCACCAGGAATAGTTGGGATCAAACTAAAGGTTGATTTTTTACACTGGGATGAGTAGCTAAACATCTTATAAATATTCTCAAAAACATTTAGGTCCTGAAAAATCATAGTCGTTTTAATTTAATATGTAAGCATTTTCAAATGAAACAGAATTATAATTTTTCTTTTCAAACAAACATCAGAAGAGTATGGAGTAGATAATAGCGGATCAAAATGTTAAATTCTAATATATTTCCATTTCTAATTTTTTTTTCTCTGTGATTGCTCTTTGAAAGTTAGCAAAGTTGATTTCTTGATAATTCTACCGGAATGTAAATTAGGCAGGTCGATAGGTCAAAAGCTACATGTAAGGGGGCCTAACATGCATGCAAATCTCGTGTGCATCTGTCTCTGTGTCTGAAGCTAAGGAGGCCAAACATGCATGTAAATCTCGCTCGGCTGCCTTTGTGTTTGACGTCAGTGGGCGAGGACTATTGCAATAGGTATGGGGGTCCTCGTGTAATTTAAATCTATGTCTACATTTTAAAAATCTAAATCTACAATTTTATTTCACAAAGAAATGGAAAAATAAGGAATCATTCGCCCGTTATGCAAATTATCCCACTATCGTTGATGCCCTGGCATACTATGCTAACCAGACAGTGATTCTGTATATTAAACTTTGCCCTTCGTTCTAAAAAAAAAGAATTTTATTCATTAAATGATGCTTAGTGCCAAAATTAATTGAAAGTTACACAAATGTTCTGGAAATCAGTAACTAGAAAAAAGACTAATGATAACCTAATAAGGCTTTATGATGCACGTGGTGACTATAATTTAAATTTTCAACTTCCCTTACTTGTGTAGCTACAAACCGTTATCACCTGCATATGGGATTTGTGTCTCTCAGTTGATTTGATACACTAGAGCTCTACGTATGAGCAATATCTAAAATTAGGTAAGCTAATGACAAACGAGTTGATGAAAAAGTTTCGCACTTATTGTTTTATGTCGGATTTTTTCGAGGGGTTTTGTATATATTTTTTCGATCATGATAAGTAGCAAATGATGATGTGACCTTATCAAGACATCACTGATTTGAGAGAAAGTCTGAAAATCAAGTATTTAATTCCTTTTTTCAATTGTCTTAACTTAGTACCACTTTAACATATTAAGAATTTTGTCATAATGATCATGAGAACCATGTTTAATTATGTTCCCCAAACGAAGTTGGGGAACATATTGTTTTTACTCTGTTTCTCATTATTATTATTCTTATTCTTATTATGTTCCCCAAACGAAGTTTGGGAACATATTGTTTTTACTCTGTTTCTTATTATTATTATTATTATTATTATTCTTTTTTCTTCTTATTTCTTCTCCGGTACTTTTTTGTCCGCGAGTGTTCTCAGAAACTGTTCACCCAACTGAGCTAAAACCTTTTTAGGGTTAATAGGTGTGTTGTGTAGGTGTGCGGAACGAAGGTCATTTTGCGCGCATACGCCTGCACGTGCGGGCGAGTGAAATGACTGAAATGACTAATATATTTAATATAGCCATAACTTTAACATTTTCCGATGAAATGCTTTGAAACTCATTATATAAGGATATATTAATAGTGTAGATAATGTGACACTGTCAAATTAGCAAGAACTCACGCGCATTTACGTGCGCTTCGCTCTGATTGGCTGAAACAAAAATCTCAATATCTTTTCCGTTTTTTGACGAAATGGTATGAAATTTAAAATATAAGCATACTTTAAGATGTCCTACAACATGATGTATAACATTTGTCATGAAAGCATGCGCATGCACGTGCGCTGCAATCTGATTGGCTTAAACTTCAAATGGCTGTAACTCCCTTGTTTTTCAACCAACCACGATAAGATTTAGAACATAGACAGACACAATAGACTCCTATAAGAAGTTACGGTCATCATGCACATGCATGCACGCGCATGCACGTGCGCTTTGCTCTGATTAGCTGAAACAAAAATCTCAATATCTTACTTGTTTTTTGACAAAATACTTTGAATTTTAAAACGTAATCATACCTTAATACGTCCTAAACTATGATATATAAAAGTTTTCAAGAAACCACGCCCATGCACGTGTGCTGCGATCTGATTGGCTTAAACTTTAAATGCCTATAACTTTTTTGATTCTCAACAAAACAGGATGAAATTTAGAATATGAATAGATATGACGGATTCTTACATTATGCTACTATCAAACTTGAATGCAAGGACTTGCATGCATGTGTGCGCGCGCAATGCGTTAAATGACCGATTTACTTGATATAGTCGTAATTTTTTTTATGAAACGTTTCAAAATTCAAAGAATAGAAACACATTAAAAGTGTAGTCACGATGATATAGCTTTCATGCATTGCACCTTCGCTCGCGTGCAATGATCAAATGACTTGTATACTTGATATGGCCGTTACTTTTATATTTCTTTATGAAATGCTTTGATGACCTTGACCTTTGACCTTGACCTTTGACCCCTTGACCCAAAGGTCACAATCCAGCTCAAGTTCGTAGATGTATTTACAAACTCACTTTAACAAATGCTTAGAATATAAAAAGTCAACCCCCCCCCCCCTTCTCCTTAAAAAAAAAAATCAATAACAACGTAGAAAATTTCTCTGAAACTCGATCAACACCTGGGATCGACATAAAATTTCACTTAAGGTGCAGAAAAGACTTCATAGAAAGTTTCCTGAAAGTTTTACGGTGAGTCTCTAAAGTATATAGAAATTATGAATTTTTACGGCAAAAATTACAAATTCTGTCGTGTTTGAAATTTAAGTGCAGACGAACAAAGATATGATATAAACCTTTTAAAGCCTATTTCTCCAGATGTCGTTAATAGCATTCAATTAATCTACTGATATGAATTAATATTTTAATACCAAGCATTCTTCTTTTATTTCACCATTGAAATTTATCTGAATTTTTTTTAGAATTACACAATCCCCAGAAATAGCGAGTTTCGGTATATTAAAAAGCAATACACGTTTCTTTCCAGTAAAACCTCACATGTTTGAATTCATGAAAAAATATTGATAAGGGGGTGTTAAACAATACCTGTCACATTAGCTGACACCAAAAAACCAGGGTACGTACACGACATTTTCTGATTTATTTGCATATGCAAACAGGGCTACCCTCAAATCCACGTGTTTTCCATGTCTTTATAAACATCACAAAAGCACCCCAGGAAGTAGCCTCCTATGCCCTGGAGAAATAGTTCCTGTCAAAAAACTTTATTTATTTATAGAGTAGATAAAATTTCCTAGGCACAGGTACCAGAGTTGTCAAACTGGCCTGGAAGGAAATTAAAAAAAACTCTCAAAAGAAAGGAAAATCGGCTTAATGTATGGACCTACAATTGAATAAGTTCATTTTGATTGGTCAATTACCGGTGTGGTACCCCTAGTCGCCTTGAACCCAGTCCTGTCTTTCTGAAGAAAACCAACTCCGAGCCCGATGTAAAAATCTTAGTA